CGGAGCGAGGGGCGGCGCTGAGTGGAGCAGTAATGATATCGTTGGCCGAAGCCTCGTTCTCTAGGCCCCTAAAGTGTATGGCTGGACGTTTCCTTGGCACACACGTGTGGGCACTTCCTTAGGTAGGGTGTGACGGCGCCGGGCAAGTTTGCCAACAACTTCGGCGGGCGAAATCGAAGAAGGCCGTAAACACAGACCCTTTCCCATCAAGGAGTCATAGCAGGACTCGCCCTTACCGTCGAAACGCGTCCAGACAAGGGAAGCCCATCACTGGACAAGGGAAGCCCGTCACCCAGCTCGACGACGCGCTCAGACATGCCCATCACCCAGCGCCGCCCCTCGCTCCGCAACGGCCGATGCTCTGCCGCCAGCACGCGCGTCAGTTTCCAAGAGCCCATGAAAGTGGCCGACAGCGCGAAGGACAGCGCCGGCAAACTGCCGATGTGGCGCGCCGAGTGGGACGCCGTGCACGCCAAGGGGGACTGCCCGTACCCGCCACACCCACCGCGCAAGTACCAGTGGCTGCCCTGCACGAACTCCGGACCCATCCTGAACGCCATCGGCCTTTTGATGTGGGTCCCACTCGGCATCGTCGTCTTTTGCGTTTCCCTCTTCCTTAACTTGTGGACCTGGTTCATCGCCTACACGTACCACGGCGGCGCGCATGGCCTCGCCGCTAGCACGACCCTGCCTCTCAGTAACCGCATCATTCGGAAGCTCTTCTCTCTCGTCGACGTCTGCAACGTCACTGAGCTCCCCAAGCCGTGGGACGAGGCCAAGGCCAAGCAGGCGTTCGATGCCTTCCGCGTGCGCAACGGCTTTGCCGAGGAAGAGGCACGGATCCTAGTCACTACCATCCCCGACACGGTGATGAAGCCAGAGGTGTGGCACAAGTACCGCATGACGGACCTGGCGTCCACGGCCAAGGTCCACTACGTGCATGTGCTGACTGCGCCGTCAAAGACCTTCGTCGTCGGATACACGAACTTTCGCGATTTCGATGGCACCTCCTGCTTCAACCTCATCAAGGGCTTCGTCGCCACGTACTACGACGGCGAGGCGCCGCTTGTCCGGCCTACAGTGGGCTCTCCCGAGCTCGACCTGCGGCTCGACACCGAGAACGAGGAGCTCAAGAAGAAGCTTGGCGCGCTGCCGGCGCTGCGCTGCGCGGTCGGGACCAGCTACACGATGGCGGTGCAGTACGGCCGGTGGCTTCTCTCGCGTGAGCTCTTCGACGCATTCGGGTGCGCCAGTCCCGAATGCTGCTCGGTCATCGAGTCGCTCAGCCTCGAGGAGACAGCAAAGATGACCGCTGCACTCAAGGCGAGGAAGCTGAAGCCATTCGCTCACCTCATGACGACCTCGGCGGAGGCTGCGAAGAGCGTTCCGAAAAAGTACCAGGTCGAGCGGCCGATCCTCCTCACGCAGGTCAGCTGCCAGAGCCGCTACTACATGCCAAAGGTTGAGCGCAACGTGTGCGGGAACTGGCTGATTGGCCTCGGCACCCGTCCGACGCTCGACGAGCTGAGCAGCGAGTCGTGGGCGTCCAAGTTCTATACCGGCCTGATCGAGCACATCGAGAGCTTCTCCGGCAACGCGGCGTGGAGCTTCATCAACCAGACTGTCTACGGCATGTCTGGGTATCGCGCTAACCCGCGCAAGATCTTCTGGTTCAACAATTACGGGCTACGCTCGATGCACGAGGGCGCTGGCGGCGTGACGTACCACTGGGCGCCCACCTACAGCGTGGCGACCTACTTCCTCGTCTGTTGCGTCTGCGTCGACGGCCGCATGTGCATCACCATCTCCAGCTCTGTCGTCCCGCAAGGGGAGCTGCAAAAGGCTGTCGAGCACATGAAGAAGATGCTCATCGAGTCGGCAGGTGGCGAGGCCCTGTCCACCGCGCGCGTCGGCCTGAAGGCTGCGAGCTTTGCGGCCAAACTTCGCCACAGGACGGAGCGATCGTGCGCTAAGATTCGCCGCTCCTCGTTCGCCGCCGCCACCTTTGGGGGCGCCGCCCTCTGAGCGTGACAGAGGGAGACCGCGCGGAATGCGGAATATCCATCAGACGATCTGAAAACAAGAGGTTGTGTGTGCGTGCGCCGTCCACCCCGCAGTGTAGGCCGGTGCCGTGCGTTCATATTTGTGTCCATTTGTCGAATGCCCTCAATTCAACACATACACACGTTGTCAATTTTGACCGCGCAAGACATAAAAGGGTGGCTAAGGGCTCTGCCCGCAAGGCGCCCGCGTCGCAGACGCGGTACCATTGACAAATCTGCAATATAGCTGTAAGTAAGGCGAGTAGGCGACACACGTGTCGGTACGTGTCGTAGCGACGGACTTTCGCGTGCAGAGAGTGCGAGGTCACCTACATCGGGGTCTTTAGCTCACTGTGATAGCTAATTCGGGTCTGCCTGCGCTCTCGGGTGGCGCACGATCGCAGACATGACGACTGACGGGTCCTACAACGTGGAGACGGGCTTGACCCTTTACCTTGCCCACCTGTCTGTACCTGAGTACAGGTAGGGTTCGTCGCGGCTTCCTGACGGCCACCATCCAAGCTAATAAATATTCCACACGTATATGCTAGCATGTCGGTCATGTGTACTAGCCGCCCTGAGCCGCTCAGAGCTCGGGAATAAAATCCCGACTGCGCCTCGGGCCTCCCAAGACGCCCATGATGTGTCCCTCTGTAAGGCGTATAGAGTGCAAGCCAGAGGGTCGGTCGTTAGATAGTATTTCACTAATAGTATTTCGTGCTACCCGCTAGTATTTTTCGTCTACCCCGCTCTCCCCTCTACGAGCTGGCTTTCTTACCGTCTGCGCCTTGTTAGTGCCAGCGCGCGCCAGTCCCGTGCCCAGTGCCGTAGAGAAGAGTTCAGCTTCACTTACTCCCCGGCATCAATCAATGAGCACCCAAATGTTTCGATGACATTTTCCGTTGCGCAAGGTAGGCGCAGCTAGCGACTGGGCTGAGCTGTGCTTGCGCCATGTTGGGACGACGCGAGTGTCCGCCTTAGTGGGGGGGGGGGGGATATACCAACCGATAAAAACCAAACGCAGTCGATCTGTTTGACACTGAAAGCCAAAAACAGTCGTCAAACGGATGCTCACGTTTATGCCCGTTTCTTATCAAGAGAGTCACCATGCTACCACGAGGCTAGAGACTAGAGACACATACACTAGCACGCCAGGACCAACGGTACTGGGTTGGGTGGGGTGGAGAGACGCATTGCGCGCACGAGCGAGGAAACGAGTCCCCCTTCGGCAAAACTAAGTCACTCCTGAAGCTCCCCCACACGGCGCCTCCCGCGCTGGGGACGACACGCTGCGGAATCGGATCGAGCCCATGGAGGAGGAGGGCGCAGTCGGCGAATTGGAGGCGGAGGAGGAGGGCGCAGTCGACCAATGGGAGCTTGGGAGGAGGAGGGCGCAGTCGACGTTGTCGTGTCTGACTCAGAGGAGGAGTCGGAGGTGCTCCAGCAATCTAACCTGATTCAGAAGCTCGCCGACGTTGTCACTCATCGTGCGTCATGCGTGATCGAGCTTTGAGGGAGGAGCTCCGCTAACGATTCGGCCGGCCACCCAGCGCCGCCGCCCATACCCGCCACCCACAAAGCGCCTGCTCTACTATCCCGTACCTGGCTGGCTGACGCTCGCCCCCCCCGCTCCACTTTCCCCTACTGACCATGCCCGTGATAGCACCATCACTGTCGCCGTCCTGGTTTTGAACGTGGCAGCTAGACTCTAGGGACTCGGTAGTCGTGACCCCCCTGAGTGTGAGGAGCAGGAGAGTGAGAGGGAGCTTTGTGGTGTTGGTGTACGCAATAACGGGACAGGGTGCTTGTTCTCTCCATCTCCCCTTCTAGCTCTTAGCATGAGCTGCGCCCTGTGTCCGACCCCTTTTGCGCAGCAACACCTTAAACTTTTATACGAGCGTCACTTTGAACCCACCCCCCCTACTTCGTGGGGACCCCCCCGCCGGTCGGTGGTCTGCCCCCGAGAGGTGGACCGGACCCCCCCTCCGGTCGGTCGCTCTCTCGGCGGCGGGAGGTGTGTGACGACCGACCCCTCCCTCGGTCCGTGTCCTTGCCGTGAGCCCCCTCAACGCTCTCTCCCCCTCCTTCTTAGCGAACCCAACCGCCACAGGCTTCGAATCGCCGGTTTCGCTATGCAAACTAGTTACGCAACGAAGGAGGCTCGAGCCAGCCCGACTCACATACGTGTATGTGGAGCATCCACGCGGCGTAGGCAGGCCTGATTGTGCTTGCCGTCGCTCTGTACAATCTCTGTGGCAGCGCTCCAGTTCTACACAGTACGCGCGCATCGTCCCTTCCGATGACTACACGCAGAATTGTGATCGAGACACATCGCCTCCGCCCTCACCGCACACCGGGCTCATCGCACATCGGCTCGACGTGGGCGGGGACATTGACGAGCTTGTGTTCCGACCCAACCCTGAGCTTCTCTAGAGCGCAGCCCGCTCCGGACGAGGAGTGATTACACGGGGGGAGAGGGCGCTTGTGTCTCTAGTATTTCGAGAGACTAATAATTTATTCACAGCTGCGGCGAGCGTGTGCGGTGTGACCCACGAGCCAACCTGACCGACCCCCCCCCCCCCCCCCCCCATCGGTCTGCGCTCCGACCGACCGGACCCCCCCTCCGGTCTGTCTGCGGTCTTCCGCGGCCGTCGACCGGACCCCCCCCTGCGGTCGGTCGGTCTGCGCTGGGCGCTCAAACCACGAAGTCGGCCTGTTCACTACAAGATGACGCTCGTATTAGGCCCTCCAAATTCGGGTCGGAGCGTAGCGGAGTGGGCCCCGAGTTTGAAAAGGGCGACGGACGCTTGCGTCCTAGCCGCCAACAACGCCTCCCCGGCGCAGAGGGGCCCCCGGAGGGATGCACAACCGCTCCACGCCACGCCGCTTGCGGCGGTCCTCTTCCCAGCTACAATGAATGCCGCGTTTCGATTTTCTTCCCTGCTTCATCGACCTCGTCCTCGACACACGCGCTGTCGCAGGCGACGACGAGATGGCCGCTCCGCGCAGCACCGTTCGGCGCGACCTGCTTCACGACATCGAGGCTCGCGCGCAGGCCAAGTGGGAAGAAACAAGGGCCTTCGAGGAGGACGCGCCCGCCGAGGGCACTTGGGACGGCGGCAAGTACCTCGTCACCTTTCCGTACCCATACATGAATGGCCGGCTGCACCTCGGCCACGCCTTCTCGCTGACCAAGGCGGAGTTCTCGGTGGCGTTCCACCGCATGCGCGGCGAGAAGGCGCTCTTCCCGTTCGCCTTCCACTGCACGGGCATGCCGATCCAGGCGGCGGCGCACAAGCTCAAGAACGAGTTCGCGCTCTACGGCTCGCCGCTGCCGAACTTCCCCACGTCGCCGCCCGAGGTGGTGGAGGGGGGCGTCGACGCGGCCGGCGGCGCCATCACCATCGGCTGGCGCGCTCCGACCTGCACCGGCGGCCTCGCGCTCGTCGAGTACCTCGTGTTGGTACGCGAGGGCCCGGCGGGCGGCGAGTGGCAGGAGCGCGCGAGGCTGCCCGCGTCCGCGGCGGAGGAGGGGCAGTGCGTGGCGAGGGTCGACGGGCTGGTGGTGGGGTCGCAGTACGCCTTCAAGGTGCGCACGCTCCTCGAGGGCGGCGCCGCCGGCGCCGACTCGCGCCCGCTCGCAAAGTCGCCCGACGGAAAGAAGGACCTCAAGCTGATGGCGGCGGGCGGAAAGGCGGAGAAGGAGAGCAAGGGCGGCGGGGGCGGGAAGCCGAAGGGGAAGCCGCAGAAGGTGGTCGCAAAGACGGGCGGCCTGATGCACCAGTGGGACATCCTCCGCGCCATGGGGCTAAGCCCTGCAGAGATAGGTGCAGCAGAGATAGGCGCAGCAGAGATAGGCCGCAGCGCAACGCACGCAAAGCACAGCACAGCGCACCGCAGCGCACCACAGCAAAGCGCAGCACAGCGCACCACTCCACGCCACTCCACCCCACTCCACGCCACTACACCCCGACGCCGCTGCAACCACGCCACCGCAACCACTGCCGCCGCACCCACTGCCACCGCACCCACTGCCACCGCAGTCCCCTTTGTGGACCCTGTCTACTGGCTCGAGTACTTTCCGCCGCTGGGCAAGACGGACCTGATCCGCTTCGGCGTGGGGGTGGACTGGCGCCGCTCCTTCATCACCACCGACTACAACCCGTACTACGACTCCTTCGTCCGCTGGCAGTTTGCAAAGCTGCGCGCCGGCGGCTTTGTCGCGTTCGGCAAGCGTCCCTCCATCTTCTCCGAGGCGGACGCGCAGCCGTGCATGGACCACGACCGCGACAAGGGGGAGGGGGTCGCGCCGCAGGAGTACACGGCCATCAAGATGCGCCTCCTCGAGCCCCTCCCCCCCGTCCTCGCAAAGTTCGCGGGCTCGCAGGTCTACGCCCTCGCAGGCGCCGCTGGAGACCCACCCTCGCCGTAGCACTCCCGCGCTCTCCAGGCCCCCCCTCCGCCCCTCCTCCCCCTCCTTCCCCTCCTGCCCCTCCGCCCCTCCGTCCCCTCCGCCCCTCCTCCCCTCCTTCTCCTCCTCCCCTCCTCCCCTCCTCCCCTCCTCCCCTCCGCCCCTCTGCCCCTCCGCCCTCGCTCCCCGCCAGACAGCCGCGGCACACCGCTGACCCGTCTCGGCAACCGCTGCGGCAACAGGCACGCTCCGGCCAGAGACGATGTGCGGCCAGACCAACGCGTGGATCCTGCCCGAGGGGGAGTACGGCGCTTTCGAGGCGAGCCTAGCAGCGGAAGACGCACACTCTTGTGCTCCCACCAGCGCTCGAGAGGGCACGTACTCAGCTAGCCTATTTCAGCTGTATTCCCTGTGTTCGTGTCCGTTGTCTTCACGCGGTGCTCTGAATACGCTGCACACCACCGTCTTCCCGCCCTGAGGCTGGCGTATTCAGCGCGTGTAGGCGGGGGAGGGCGTCGTCTACCTCTGCGCGGCGCGTGCGGCGCGCAACATGGCATTCCAAGACCTCTTCCCGGAGTGGGGCAGGCCGAAGCAGCTCGCCACCTTCTTCGGCCGCGAGCTGCTCGGCGCCGCCGTCAAGGCCGGTCGCTCTGTCCGCACGGGGCTGGTCGCCTCCCTCTTGTGAGTGCTGGCCACTGAGTCAGAGTAGGCGCCGCTCTGCCCGTACGAGCGGATCCACTTCCTCCCCCTCCTCACGATCTCGATGACCAAGGGCACCGCCATCGTCACCTCGGTGCCCTCTCCGACCCGCCGGACGAGCCGCTTCCCTCTCGACCTAACGGGTGGGTTTGGTGGTCGACTCAGGTGCCCTCCGACTCGCCGGACGACTACGCCGCCTTCATGGACATGAAGAACGCCAAGAAGCGCGAGTACTACTCTGGGCAGGCGGGCGCGGAGCTGCGCGCCGAGTGGATCGACCCTTTCGAGGTGGTCTCCCTCCCCTCCCTCCCCCCCCCAGAGGCGGCTGGAGATCAGCCGAGATCGAGCCGAGATCGAGCCGAGATCGAGCCGAGGTGTAGGTGGTGCCGGTGCTCCAGACGCCCGAGCTGGGCGAGGTTGCCGCGAAGTTCATGTGCGACAAGCTCGGCATCGCGTCGCAGAAGGAGGTTGAGAAGCTCAAGGAGGCGCACGACGTTTGCTACACCGCCGGCTTTTACAAGGGCGTCATGACGGCGGGCCCCTTTGCCGGCCTCCCGGTCCAGGAGGCAAAGCTCAAGACAAAGGCAAAGATGGTCGCCGACGGCGAGGCGATCACCTACCTCGAGCCGGAGGGGCTGGTCACGCCTCGCTCGACGCCGGACGTCGAGTGCGTGGTTGCGCTGGTGGACCAGTGGTACCTCAAGTACGGCGAGGAGGAGTGGGCGGCGCGCGTGGGCGAGCACCTCGGCGGCCTCGAGTGCTACAATCCGGCCGTCCACAAGGCGCACAGCCCACTGCGAGAAGAGTGGAGTCACAGATGCAGTCTGTCACCATGCCGAGCCCGTGGTCTCAGCATGATCGGGTGCAACCTGTACTCGCATCACACTGTGTGACGCCCCGGCATCACTGTCAGGCGTTCCGCGACGCGCTCGGCTGGCTCGGCGATTGGGCGTGCTCTCGCTCGTTCGGGCTAGGCGCGCGCCTGCAGCGCGCAGCAGGAGGAGGAGGAGGAGGAGCGCACTCCATCGCCACAGCTGTGGGACCGTGCTAGGCACGCGCATGCCGTGGGACACGCAGTTCCTGATCGAGTCGCTCTCGGACTCAACCATCTACATGGCCTACTACACCGTCGCGCACCTGCTGCAGGGCAGCTCGATGTTTGGCACCGACCGCGCAACGGCGCCCGCCGCCCCGAGGCAGTGCACGGACCGGGTGCCTCTCAAGACTCACTCTGGAGGGTCACCTGCCAACAGGCGCCCGTCGCGCCCGAGCAGTGCAGCGAGGGCGCTTGCGACGCCCTCTCGCCGTGCCGCGGGCTGCAGCCCCAGCTCCTCGGAGCCTCCTTGGAGCCACCCCCGTAGGCTTTTGGGACCACGTGCTGCTCGGGAAGCCGTACGAGCCGGCGGCGGGCGAGGCGCCGGTCCCGGCCGCATCGCTCGCGAGCATGCGACGCGAGTTCGAGTTTTGGTACCCGGTGGACATGCGCGTGTCTGGCAAGGACCTGATCCCGAACCACCTCACGATGAGCCTCTACAACCACGCGGCCGTCTGGCAGGACGACCCCGCTAAGTACCCGCGCTCGATCTTTTGCAACGGCCACGTGCAGGTCGACGCTGAAAAGATGTCCAAGTCCAAGGGCAACTTCATCGGCTTGCTGCAGGCGTGCGAGAAGTGGTGCGCCGACGCGACCCGCTTTGCGTGCGCCGACGCGGGCGACGGGATCCTCAACGCGAACTTCGACACGACCATCGCCGACCGCTCCATCCTCTCGCTCACCGCTGAGCTCGAGTGGGCGCGCGCCGCGCTCGCGGGCAGCGCCAAGGACGCGTCGATGCGGCCGGCGGGCGCCGCCGCCACGTGGCTCGACGCGTGGTTCGCAAACGAGATGAACCGGCTCGTGCTCGCCGTGACGGAGGTGTGGGTGCGAGCAGCACCTCTTCACAGCTCTAGCTGTGAACAGGCTCGTGCTCGCCGTGACGGAGGGCTTCGCGAGCATGCGGTTCCGCGACGCGCTCAAGCATGCGTGGTACGGGATGCAGGAGGCTCGCGACCGCTACCGCTCCGGCTGCGTCGAGTCGGGCCTCGACGCCGAGCTGACGCGGCGGTGGGTCGAGAGTAGCCGAGAGGAGCCGAGAGAAGAGGCGGTGGGTCGAGAGGAGCCGAGAGGAGCCGAGAGGAGCCGAGAGGAGCCGAGAGAAGCCGCCGAGCTGACGCGGCGGTGGGTCGAGCGGCGGGCGCCTGCGGACAGAGTAGTCTGAGCAGCGTGTCTGAGGGTGGTCTCTTGCACGCCAGGTGGGTCGAGTGGCAGGCTCTGCTGATGGTGCCGATCACGCCGCACTGGTCCGCAAGGAGGCCTGGCCGGAATGACTCTAGACCCACCCCCGTCACGACTGGCCAACTACTACTGAATAGGTCCGAGGAGGTCTGGTCGGCCGTGCTCGGCAGGGAGGGCTGCGCCGTCCGCGCGGCGTGGCCGACCCCGACGGCGCCGATCGACGCGGGCGTGTCCGCGGCCGGCGCGTACCTCTTCAAGGTGTGCGGATAGCCGAGATATCGCCGAGATATCGCCGAGATGGCGCGTACTTCTTCAAGGTGTGTCGGCGACACGGTAAACAACACTCCTCTTCTGAGTCGACTTGTGATGTTGTGCTGCCCCTGCGTCAAGGTGTCGAGCGTCATCGCCACCGCCATGGCCAACCACGAGAAGAAGGCGGCCAAGGCCAAGGGCAAGGGCGGCAAGCCGGCCGACGGCGGCGCGGCGGCGCCAAAGCCAAACCAGGCGCGCCTGTACGTCGCGCGCAAGTTCCCGCGCTGGAAGGAGCGAGTGCTCGAGCTGCTGCGGGGCCACTTCGACGCGGACAGCGGCGCGGTGAGCGAGGCGGTGCGGGCGGCCATCTCGGGCTGCGACGAGATCAAGGTCCCCTCGTGGGTCGTGGCATGCCACGAGGGGAGGCAGCCCGTGTGCACGAGCAGTGACGGGTTCACCATGAGTGGGCAATGAGTTAGGCGTGCAACAAGGGGAAGCAGCCCATGCAGTTCGCCGCGATGATGATGGAGGAGGCGAAGCTGGGCGGTCTCTCCGCGCTCGCGCTGTCGATGCCCTTCGACGAGGCGACCGACCTGATGGGAGACACGGGGATAAGGGGAGACACGGGGATAAGGGGAGACATGGGGATAAGGGGAGACACGGGGATAAGGGGAGACATGGGGATAAGGGGAGACATGGGGATAAGGGGAGACATGGGGATAAGGGGAGGCATGGGGAGACATGGACATGGGGAGACGTGGCGCCCGACCTGAGTGGGGCCGGAGTAGGGCCGCTCCTGCGGGGCGGCGGAGAGCCACGGGGCTCTCCCCCCCCCCCTCCCCCCCCCACCTCTCTCTCTCTCTCTCTCTCTCCCCGAGGGCAGCTCGAGGGCAGCACGCCGACGGCCTCACCGCCCGCAGGCATCCACGTCTACACCGAGGCGCACGACTCGGTGCCCGACGCCGAGATGCTCGCCTCCGCCGCGCCGGGCGCGCCGTCCGTGCAGCTCTTCCACGCCGAGTGAAGGGGCGGCGGGCTGCCGGCACGATCGGCCAAACGACCAACTCCGCGACTAAGAGAGACAGAGAGAGGTTTGATACCGTAGAGTGCCCAAAGGCGTCGGGGCGGACAGGGGAGTATTGTAAATAAACAAATAAAAAACGGACACCTCTCTACTGTCAGAAAGGGTAGTGTGAGGTGGGTAAAAAGGAGGAACACAGGTCCCCCCGGGCCCTTTGCGAATGCGATGTTTGTTCCTGCTTCTTTTTGTGGGTGTGGTCGGCGACCGCAGCAAAACTGACCCTAGGGATTCTGATTCGGGGGCTTTAATGGAACTGATCGTGAAAACTCCCAATGCGAAGTGGTTTCGTCACACTGATGCCCCCCCCCCCCGTAACCCCCCCCCCCCCCGGGGGGCGCTTAGACGTCCGTGAGAAGTTACTCAAAAAGAGGCGCACGGACGCCTCACCGACACCGTCGTCTGCCCTGCGTCGTCTGGCGACGGGTCCTCCATAGTCGGTCGAGGTCGCCGCCCTCCTCGTGCCTCTTCCCAACGTTCCCTCGGCGGCCGATGCCGACCGATGCCATCTGCTCCGGCTCCCCAGTCCCCGGGTCTGCCCTGCTCTCGTCTGCGCTAGTTTCTGCCTCGTCACCACCGGCGTCTCTCCTCTTCCTTCTCCCCTTCTTGTATGCTTTGCACATCGCGGGCCGCGCTCGACCGCGCGATCGCCAAGGAGGGAGCGCTCTCCATCGTCGTGCTGCTGCGGCTGTCGCCGGCCATGCCGCTCGTGCTCGCATCGGCTCTGCTCGCGTTCACCCAGGTGTCGCTCGGCCCGTACACGGCGGGTACCGTCGTCGGCTTGCTGCCCTTCTCCGCGGTGTACTGCTACGCCGGCGCGGCGGGCGCGGAGGTTGCTGCCGACGCCGCCTCCGGCGCAGCGGGCGCGCACGAGGAGGGCCCGGGCTGTCTCCCGCTTCCGGACGCTAGCAGGCGTGCACTACGACTCGGACAACCGGGTCGGTCTGTCCATTGGCCAGGAGGTGATTGCGCGTCGCCTGCCCGACTTCCTCGCTCAGTTTGGGGCCGACCGTGACGCGGTGCGTCGCAAGATTGAGCAGGTGCGCACCGACTGGTCGACGTACACTGGTTTCGAGTGAGCGCTTCCCGGTCGCGCCCAGAGCACCAACGAACGGATCGACAGGGACACGGGCTTGGTGGGGGGTGGCAGAGGCGAGGGCGGGACACGGGGGAACGGCCGGCTGCTGTGGAGTGTGGGCTGACGACATGGCTGGGCCCGCGCGACTTGAGTAACAGCGTGTGTGTAGCGATCCCAGCGAGAGCCGGCCCCCAGTCTGCCACGCGAAGAGTGGAGATGTGGCTGGATAGAGCGCCTAGACGGCAAAGAGTGGGCACAGTGCTCAGTGGCCGCACCCGCCGCCGCAGCCCGCAGGGGGGCGCAGCCGTGCACCCGTCCAGAGCTGTGCCGTCGGCGGCATTCAATAGAACAAAAGGAAACACAAGAGATACAAAAAAGAGACACGAGAACGGCTAGGACAAGGAGCGCGCCATCTCTAGAGCCGTACCACACTGAGTCCACCCTCCTCACAGAGATCTACGCCACAGCGCAGACGGGGCACCCGAAAACAGGTGTACAACATATCATGGAGAGGAGCGAGACAAGTGTCTCGCATCCAGAGCACATAGCCACACCTCGCTTGCAGCCGCGCAGCCTCTGCCCCCGGGTAGTGGGAGGCCTTGGAGAGGAGCACCCGAGAGCGGCGTGGCGCGGAACGCCGCCGCCCTGCATGCACACGCTGCGAGAGGAATCTGTACAACCAAGAGGGGCGCCGCCCTCTCGGCGCCCCGCGCGACACTCGCCGTCGACGGACAGCCGGTCGTCCGAGCAGGTGGGTGGGGTGAGGAGCTGCGGCCTACGGGAGGGTGGGTTCGGGTACCGTGGGGTAGGGGAGGGTGGGTTCGGGTACCGTGGGGTGGGGGAAGGAGCTGCGGCCGCCTCAGACTCATGACCGTCAGATCCCGATCGCCCCGGACTCCTTTCCGGACGCCGGTGCCGGGGCC